AAAAAAAAAAAAAAAAAACTCTTAAGTCGCATGGTTTGAAGCGGCAGCCAGCATAGATCTCCCTCATCTGACATGCTTTCTGCTTGTGCCTGAGGGCTCCCTGCCAGACAGTCAAAAGGCCTAGCATGAAACCCCACGAGACCTTGCCATGGCTGGACGCTTCGAGCATGGGGCACGGAACGGAAGAGGTATGCGGCTCGCTGCCCGGGTACTGCGGCGGTGGCCGCACGGCCAGCAGAAAAGACTTCACTTTTTTGTGGTCCGATGCTGCCCGCTCTCGACGCAAGCAGCCAGATGGCTTTCTTGAGCCATTGACCACGCAACACTTCGCCAAGGCACGCCCTTCACGGGTTTGGTCTCCCTTATGTTTCATGTGCACGCCAGGGGTCCCGCTTTGCATCGAACGCGAGCGCGGTGACAACAAATCCGATGTCTAGCCCAACACAACACTAGATTCCTAGATAAAGTGGATGACATCTGTTAGGCACACCGCACTCTGGCTGGCACACGTTCTGTCAACAAGCACGGTGCCAAAAAAGACATGCCTCCGCAAACGACAGCAAGCTGGCCTGACTCATGGCGATCAAGGACATGAAGGCTGCACGCTTACACGCAAGCACAGCTTTCGTAAGGATGTGGCAAGATGCTGGTGCAGCGCACGCAATGGCCTGGCCTCATCCGCATCCTGCCTTCAGGGGCGCACAAGCCGAAGTGGTTCACCAGAGTTCATTCAACTTGCTGGCCGCACCATTCAAAGGACAGGCGTGTTGCCTTCAGCCAACTTGCTACAACCTCAGCAAAAAGTTTTGGCGATAAATCCATCGGGCTCCACTCCCTGGCCAGCCACTCCCCCACAGCTACATGGTGCCTGCCTGCAGCATGTCCGGGTGCACTGAGGAACTTCTGAACACAAGGCTGAAGACCTAGGCCAGCTCGCATGCAAAGGTGGCGAATGGCACAGCTGGCAACTCGGCCCTAAGATGCTCTTAGTCGGCAACATCTTCACAGGCCTAGTGCTCAAGACAAACACCACCGGACCACCGGACCACCACGTATGCTTACACTATGCCTCCACAACGGCCGCTGCCGCCAGCTGCCACAGCCGCACGTCACCCAGAGGAAGAGCCTCATCCGCAGAAGCTATGACTGGAGTTGCGATATCACGCAGTGCACCCCGCCAGCTATATCTATACATATGCACACATGTATATATACATGTATGTATATCTGTCTGAGCTTGACGAAGAGCTCTGCATGATGATTTTCCTGCGGCACAGTACAGCTCGTCGAGTTGACCAGCCACTCAGGTTGATCAGCGTTGCTCTTGATCACCAACCAACCTTCAACTCGAAAAAGCTGCACCCTTGCACACCAGCATATGCCTGAGGCGCAACATCATGAGGACATAACAGGAATTGTCGTGGCAAACGAGTAAACAGTACAGCTGCGACTGCCCGAGCTGCAGTCGCAAGAGCTACTCTGTGTAGCAACTGCTGCAAAGAGGCTGTGTGGTAAACCTGCCAAGCCGGACAAAATCATGTATGGACATGACGAATGCCAAAGCCACGCTAATATGTTCATTCTGCAGAACAACGCAGAGATGATCACAGATGCATGGAAGAGGGGCATCAAAGCCATGTTGAAACTTGAATTTGGGGCCTTGCAGATGTCGGTTTTGAAGCCTCTGGTTTCGAGGCAATTCCGAATCCATGTCGGGCCATCTGGCTCCAGCATCCATGGTCTCCAGAACCTAAACTCCGCCACGACATCCCACAAACTCTCCGGTGGCTGACGGGGAAAAATGGAATGGAGTGGGTCAAGCATGGCTGCGCGCTCCCCGCAAGAATTCAACACATGACTGCGGCACAGTTTAAATTTGGCACAAGCACGATATAAGCTTGATGTTCTGGTTCAGGTAGTACGACGTCAAGCCCTTATCCGCGGCTTTCTGGAATTCATGGAACAATCCACGGCTGATGTCCTGGACAGGAAAAACGCTGCTTTGCCAGGACTGCGTGAGGCCATCCTACATCAATAGTATGTCCTGCACACGGACATGGTTGACTCGCAGGCGTAGACCCGATGCTGTAACGCCTCGGCTTCCATCTGAGTATAAACCAAGCACGCGCAAAATGAGCATTTGATGTCAAACTCGCATCTGAGGACAGCACCTACTCCGCTTTGGTCACCCACAAATGCACCTGCTCCGTGAGACTTTGGTCAAAGTCACACCCCGGTACATCTGGATACACCTGATACTGCTGGCTGACGCCAACAAGCCAAGACACGAATCAAATCGCGGCATAAAAGAGGCAATGCCACCACAGCGTCTCGCGGCAAGCGCTGCAAGTGCCTTGCCGCTCTCCTGTCTGCAGGGTGCGTCGGCCACACATGCATCATCACAAGCTAAATTTGGCAACACATGCTGGAGCATGTCCTGCCATGCCTCCGGCCAGCCTGAGCTTGTCGACTTTTCAATGCCTGCAACTAATGAAAGGAGTCTGGGCTGGCCATGGCTGGCTCCACCATGCGAATCCCGTCATACCGAAATCTTTCCAAAAGTTGCTTCCTCGCGCAAACTTCAACCCTCGCGTCATTACGGAAGCTTCGCTCGCACAAATGCTTAGTAAGGAGATCCAGCAACACCCTGGATAGATCTAATTGGTGGAGGCCGCGATTTGCTTACTCGCGCCACTTGTCATCATTTGGGGAAACACGTAGTGGCCCCAGCAATCCTAAAATTACCAATGATGACATTCTACTAGGAGATCGCTTAATAAATTGCCACGTATATGGACAATGCTCACAAATAGACAGTCGAACCCAACCCAAGTGCCCTAAAGTAACCTTTGTCAGGATCTGGCCTGGACAGCTGTCAACCAAGAAAGTAACTGCAGGTTCACCAGCCGGCTGGGCAAACTGCCAGCACATCGCACAGTTTCTGCTTCCACCCAGCGGCTGAAGGAATCCTGTGACCAACCACGATTGCGGCTGCGAAGGGCACACGGCACATGCAAAACTCCGTCAAAACGGTCGCTGGAAGACTGCTATCAAATTTGCCTTCGCATCAACGGATTGCGTGGCGACTGTAGTGCAAGCTTCTGGGCTGGCATCTGACAAGGACTCACTGGGGATGCCTTAGCCATCCCCACAAGAAATCCAAGGTGTTACGAATGGAGTGCAATGCAGGTAAGGAGCTGATGCTGCTCGTTGCCCTGGTTACGTCTTGGCGCCCGGTCTCCATGGGCGCATGTCGAAAGTCTTTGTTGTCCAATGACACGATGCTTCTAAATTTTAGATGGTGGCCGGCATATGATCAAAATTGATTTTCGTTGCCACAACCATGTCACAGCACGATGGGTCCATCTGAAAACCCTGCTGCATCAGGTAACGTACATGCACACGGCCATCACCCGTCATGTGATGACACAACATTGAGCTGCTCTGGAATGCCAAGGGCCCGGGCACGCTCACAAAAGAGCAAATCCACTGGCAACGACAGTAGTTCCTGCAAATCAGTGTACATGTCAATAAATCATGTCTGCAACTCATTGCTTTGCTTCGCCTTGATGATGTCAGCAGGTACATCGCCACCATCCAACAACCCAAGAGGCTTCCAACATCCTAACCTCAAAAAAATCATGACAGCACCAGCATGCACTGAGCTCAGCGTTCTGACCTAGCGATGCCTTCAAGCATGTGCAAAGCATACTGTTCGGCCAAGGACCACATCTCGGACGCCACCAACGCTGTGCTGATTTGTCGCTGCCTGGAAGGTTTGTTGGTTTCGTACCTTTCCCCCGTGCAGTGACACATGGTGCAAGACTATGAAACAATAATTCAATGATCCGTTGCGGGCAAACGCTCGCTCCGCCATTCGTACAGGGCCGCCAACTCTTGCATTCCGCATGTTGCTGGAGGGAGAAGCAACTCGGCAACAATCTTAAACAGCGCGCAAGTCTTTGACTGGGCCTCCAAAACCCATGCCCCCCCGCACACGGATGCCCGTGATCCCTCACTTGTTAAAGTGGGCTGCGGCGTGTTAATAATGGAAATTTCCATATTTTACCCCCCCCCCCAAATGGACGCGATAAGCAACCCTCAACACGCAAACGTAAGGAGTTGCCCTTACCTCGGACCATCTTACCTTTTTCTCTCAAGGTATGCAATATGTTGGCAAGTATGTTGGGCATGTCATGTTGGGATTAACAGAAGAGGATTTCGATTTCGGCCTGTTGCTCAGGTGTGTGATGGTTGGCTCATGCTCAGTTCCATCAGTTTCACAATGGCACCACAAGCTGAACGTATCTCATGCTGGAGCTGAAGCTTGTGCAGGAAATGAATAACTTCAGTTTAGGGCTTTGGGGGTCCGATCCCGCGCGTCCCGAAAAAATGATTTTCGCATTTGGAGCTATGTCAGCATGATGAGTTGTTGTCCACGTCTACGTTTCCGTTTTGAGGAATGGCGGATTCTTCTGATCATAGGCCCTACAGGTCCAAGTGCTCCATACTCATATACTTACCCAAAAACCTATACTACAACAAACCACTACTACCAAAATCACAAGTACTCAGTTATTGGGTGCTGGAACCCTCAGGGGAGGGGATTCTGTATAGTGCAACCCATCTGCTGGGGTCCTTATTGTATGGGTTATCAGGTTACCAAAAGATTCATCGAAGGTCCTTGCTCTACCCAAATCTATTCAGACTGAATTCTTACCTGGGCGTGTGCCTTGGGGATGTGAACGGTGATCCATTGGTCACACGTCTTGGAAGAAATGATTGTGTGGCGCGTTCTTGGTACGGCAACTTAGCATTTCGTAGAAATTCTCCAGAAATTGTCCACGGGTCTCACATGAAATGGAAATTGGTGGGGGGATTCCACTTGAGGTCTGTGACCCCTCCGGGGATTTCCATTTACGTGACCCAGACATAGCGGACCTAGGCCAGCCCCCACGAACCTCTGCCCTCTGATTGCCACTTTAAGGCAATGTTGTATCTTAGCATTTTTGAACTAACCACAAACCCACATTGCATGGAAATTGGTGCGGGGGATCCCCCGACTTACCCCTACCCTCTCAGCACTTCAGGTCTGTGACCCCCTCAGGATTTCCATCTACATGGCCCAGACAATGCTAACTTGGGTCCGGCAGCTTGACGCGGCACAGCCCGGTGCATGCGGGTGGGCTTCAAACTGCCGCGCTGCCGCAATCGACGGTGCCCTGCTGTTCGGCGCACAGAAGTGGACAATTCAGGCGGACACACGGACGCCATCTGGCAAAGCTGACAGATCTTGAAGCACTGCACACATGAAAGGAACGGCAACAAAGTTGGCGGCAGTGAGCCGCACAACAACCCCAAGTGGGCGCAACATTGCCTTTGACATTCCTACCATGACAATAATGGTGTCAGCAGATGGCAGACGGCGGCGGCGCGTCGGATGGCAAGGCACGGGCGCAAGCACATCCGGCCAACGGGTGCGTCAACAGCGCGACAAGATTCTCGGCGAGAATGCTGCAATACCAGTGAGCGGCCCGCAGGTGGTTGCCGCAGCGGATTTCAATACTATCATTGCTTTGGTGAGATTGCACGCGTTGATGTCATAGGGAAACTGGGTACACATCAGAAACAAAAACTAAGGATGGGGAGGGGAAGGTGTCCTGTTTGGACACAACCGCGTGTCACGGTCAGAGGCTGGCAATGCCATTGTTCACGTACTGGACGTCTGGTTCGCTACCATTATAGACAACAAGCAGGCACACACCCAGCAAAAGCAAACAAAGTTCAGCTAAATCGCCTTCGCGTGGATTGCATGGTTGCATCCCATATCATACGGGACACTGTTGATAAATGTTGTCGCGGGCAGTGTTGACGTGCAGACTTGTTGAAACCTCGTATGCCTTGATTTGTTGCCCCACTTTTGACGAAAACATGCGCTGCGCAGGGCAATGTAACAAGGCATGCTCGAGACAATCGTGGAGACAATCGCACCCACTCGCACAAAATTGGTGGCCACAAGGCGCAAGCCTCCAGTGTAATGTTTTGCGAGCAAGGCCGAGGAGGTTACGTTGGAAACTGTGTGCAAGTTGCCAACAAGCAAAGGCTCCGTCAGAATTGCCTTCTCCCAAGCACGACGTGACAACACAATCCTTCTCGTTCCAAATATAACTACCACCTGACATTATGTGTTGAAATTGGCTCAGGCCTCCAAGCAGGTAAGCCTCTTCGAGCGCACCCCGTCCTGCAAGCCGTTCGGCCTCGAAGCCTCCAAGCCTAGATTGCCGCTTACAAGCGCCTACAAACCGAGCAGCGTTTAAACTAACCGCGCCTATCAGCACGTAAATGTTCCTTGTTTGGGTCCAGCCCTAAAAAACCTTAACTGCCTTCAGGGATTTTAAAGTTTGTGGGTTTCGAAGCATGCCGGCGGCCAGGCCCGATCTCAGGCATTTTGAGGCGCTTGGGCGTTTTTTAATCAAGCGTTGATGTACGTTTCCTAGTGCGCACAGCGCCTTTCGCATCCTGGGTACATTGATCTGCTCACCCACCTTTATGTTTGTTGTCACGTAGGTTGGACGCTTACCCTGTTCATCCCATTTGTTTGCAAGGCTGCGCCCCCCCTCCCATGCGCTTCTGTTTTAGCCATGCAACCGTGCAAGAATTGCTGTAAGACCCGTGCTGGCAGCCAGGCTCAAGAACTACCAGGCCCAACCGCTCGCGGCCCTGAGCTGGGACACTGCTACGTTTCCAGGGCAGCTAGCGTACCAGGAGGCTCTGTGGATCAGACATTTAAAAAAAGGTCCGTCGGCAGGAAAGAGATGCTAAGCGGCTTAAAAGCTTACACGCGTTCAGGCCTACAAACTTAGAGGCTTATGGGCCTTATGGGGGTGCATAGGCTGATGGAGGGTTAGATGGAGGCTAATGGCGGTATGCTGGCAACCAAAGGCAGAAACATGCTTATTGAGGTTTATACGTCGACTGGCTAGGGTTTGCAAAGGCGTGCTGGCAATTATGTCATCACTTCCGGCCTGCAGCCCGCTGCAGCCAAAGGCTCCCTGACATGTATCCCCCAAGGTCCTTCACTGCATATCACAGCGAACAAACGTTTGTATGCGTTATACGCATGTGGTCGATCTGTGCCGAAGGCCCTCGGGCAGAACCCCACAGTCTCACCTATGAGCGCCTCAGCGGCAAAAAAACGCCCAAGCGCGTAAAAATGCGGCAGGTCATAAGTGCGTAGCAACGATCTGGGGTGCTTCGAAAAACATTGTTACCGTTTTGGGAGCTCGCGATTGCAAGCACGGCGAACAAAAACATTGACACAAGCGAAATTTTGATAAACTTAAGGCAACATGTAATTTTTGGTGTTCTCGCATTTTTTTCCGCAACCTGTCCCAAGT